AGGCTCCGGAAGGGCTTCCTGCTGCTGAGGGCCCGGGAGCAGGGCGAGCACCAGCCCCGACGGCTACCGCTGCCGCTTCTGATGAAACCCAGCCACCTAATGCATGTAACCTATTACAACTGTAATTGTGACTAATTGAAATTCATCTCCTATTAGCTCTGCACTTTCCATGAAAATAAAAAGTAGGATGGGAGTAAAGTAAGGAACAAAACTGCTTTAATGGCCCAAAATGGAGCAATTATTTTTTCTCTTTACCTAAACATAGTTTACTGCCTTATTAAAAGCGTGTTTGTAGGAATACTACCGCATTAAAATTCCAGTGCATGAATCACCAACTGGAGCCACTGATGCTTCAGCTAATACTGGTTTTCTCCTTTAGCTTTTGCAAACTAAAAAGATTCAGGTCATGCTAGGGTCACTGAAATCTTGTGCTTCCACTTGTGGAAAATGAATGAGCCTGCTCTGCCACAGAACGCTGACATTCTAGTAATAAATGATAAAGCTACTCTAACGGTCTTTATTTATGGCTGCTTTTTTCCGTGGAAGATTATTATGTTTACTCACAGATAGATACATTTTTATGTAGTTAAATAATAAAAGCATCCTGAGGAACTGCTGTCTGTCCAGTGAACATAATTTCAGTCCATAATGAATATCTGTAGTTCCTAGACTACTAGCACTGTAATCTAAAAAGCCACTAATACTGTAATAAGCAGAAACCGTAAATTGTTGATTTACAAGAGGTCAGTAAAGGAGCATTGCTTTCCTTGATCTAATGTAGTTGTATTTAATATTACCATATAAAACAGAATTCTAATTTTCCTTGAGAAATGCAGGGCTTGAATCTGATCTCGTATATACAAAAATGCCAACATATAATGCAATAACTGAACTTCCCTCCAAAGAGGCTGCTGAGGGTCTCTCAGTTGCCCAGACTTGCTTGCCTTAGAGTCAGAATAAAACTTTGCTAGGCTACGCCTTTGGTAAGCACTTCTCATTCCCCTTTCCCAGCCACTGCATCCTCTTCAGCTGCTTATGTTTTTCACCCCTTGCTAATTGAAAATGTGTAAATGCAATGTGAGGCTGTCAGCATCCATGTACCACGTTCTTGCCTGCGCTATTAGCACGTTAGATTACTAAAAATGAATATATCGAAGTTTTTATTTTACCACTAGTGCTGGTTGTTTACTTCTTGCATTACACCCACCCCACTGCAGCAGTGAAAAAAATGGATCAGTCTTACGTCTTCCTTCTTTTTTGGCGCTCTCATGAGGACAGTACTGCCTACAGATAGGTATCCTGGCAGGCACAAGCAACGGAAAGAGTTCTTCTGGCTTGGCAAGTCAGCTTAGCAAGGTACACATTGGACGGAATTCCCATTATCACACATTATACGTATTCTGTATTATATTTATGAACGTAGTAAGATCTCTTTCTTCTTATAATTTCAGGTGAGTACATTTGCAGGTAAAATTGTTCTGTCCCTCTGGTCATTGATGTGAACAGTAAAAATATGTTTTCCGTCATTTCTGAGCATGTATAATCATGGGGCAATTCTTTTCTCTGGCAGTTATGAAGAGATATGCTTATTTGGCAGCTACAAGTAGCCGAACTGATAAGGACAAATAAAATAACCTTGTAGTCAAAGGGGAATAATAGAACATCTGTTAACAATTTTTATCATTAATATTCTTGGGAGCTAGGGCTTTGTGAATGCTCTGTTTAGTATTGCTCTGTGTCTCATGCAGTAAAACATGGTCCCAGTGAAATTAGTTTAGCCTATGAAATAATAACATTTAGGTTGTAGGGGATGCTATCACTTGTAGTGAGACATAAATGCCAATGCCGAGATAAACGCGCGAGTTAGTTGCATGAGGCGCTCTCTTACCTGCTCATCACTGCTTACTGCCCTGCCATGTAGGAAAACAGATGCTGCCAAAAGTCAAGATCAAGCCAGTTATGTAGGCAAGTCAGCTGTTTGTCCAAATTCTGACCGCAGTTACTGCTATGTAGTCTATGGGGAGCCAGTGCCAGCTGCTCTTTATGTCAATTAAAGGCCGTTCCTGAAACACCTCATATGTTTCAACACTGATTTTGCTTTAGTACATTCCACCCTATGCTTTTCCTTCAATGCCAGACTACAAGTTGTTTTCACAGAGCTCAGAGAAGCTTCTGCGATATCATCAGTCTTCTCATACGAGGCCCTCTATCCTCTGTGCTATCCCTCAGCTTCGATCTGAGACTGGACAAGCCCAGTACGGCCTGGGATTTGTGCACTGGCTTTCTTCTGGTTTACACACATTACCTGGAAAAGTGACACTTGGTGGGTGTTAGCTTTTCTGCAGTTTCCTTTCTCCCAGCTCCATGCTGCAGTGTATGATGTCCTCTATTGCAAGGATATTTACCTGTTAGCTTGTGTAGGTATGTCTTGGTTATTTCCTCTTTCTGCCAGGGATTTGATGCATCCTTGTGCTGACAGATCAGACTCTTGGCGTGCTGAAACACCCATCAGACTTAACATGTAGGAGCTGATATCTTTCTGAAGGTCTGTCAGAATGCACAGGCTGGGTGTTCGTCCATCGACCTTGGCCTCGCAGCTTGAGCCGCTTGCTGGGGCAGTTGAACACGGCAGAGACGCAGAGCCGGTGGTTGTGCGCATGCTTACTACTGGATGCACACAAGAGCCTGCAAGCCTGGGCTCGATCCTCCTTTGCTCGGGCAGGAGCTTGGCTGTGGCCTCATAGCAAAGGGCCCTTAGCCACCGGGAAAGGAGTTCCCAGTCTGTCCTACGAGAGCTGTGCCATTTTGCACGGATTACTTGAAGGCTTAATGGATCACGGAGCAGAAAAAAGGTTCCTATTCCGAGCAGGGAGACAGAGGGAACAGGGAGGAGAGGAGCACGTTGTAGTCCCTGCTCAGAGGAATGTTTATGTGTTTCATATTAAGCCATCCTGAGATAAAGCACACAGATGCTCTGACACATCCCAGCTCTGCCTCCCTCTTCGCCAGGAGGGCTTTAGCTGTTAGGCTGGAGAGTCACATCGTGCTCACACAGAACCGGCTTTCTTCCCATCCGCACGTATTCGCTCTCAGCTTTAACTGTGCAGTTTGAAGTGGCACCGCTTCAGTAAGAGAATTTGCAAGGTCCTACCATATAGCCTGCAGCTTCGTAGTTAAGGGCACTGCCCTGGAAGGTGGAAGATGTGGGTTTGAATCGGAGCTCCCTTCACCCGGTGGGTGGAAAGATGGAGCTGCTTTAAATAGTGGTTTCTGCTCTACTGACAATGCACTGCAAAAGGAGCAGCAATATCCAAATGCTGTTTTCATACCAACTTGAGAAACGTCTGTATCACGCTCGCCGATTTCTAGGCAGTGAGCAAGGACGGGGGCTGGCTGGTTCGGAGCACGTACTTGAGGCATTTCGGTTTGGGGCGTTCTGCGACATGCGCTGGAGGGAGGCAGCTGTCTTCAAAGAGCAGTGCAGAGCTGCCAGCCGCTCCCTGTCGAGCGCATCGGCTGCCTGTGCCCCTCAGCGGGGCAGTTCGGTGAGACAAGGCGGCAGATAGGAAGCAGCAGGCACAGGGGTACGTCTGCGGGGGCGTCTCCATTGTCTGGAGATTAGGCTTTCGCGGAAGGAAGCGGCAGCACTGGTGACCTCCCATATTGCACAATGGCTTGTTTTATATAACTTGGTCTTTCCACAGTTTGTGGGGTTTTTTCTGCCTGATGTATTTAATTTGCTCCTGTCCCCCCGCAATAGGTCCTTTGAAAGAGCGAAATTGAGGAGGGACAGGAGAACAGAACAAAATAAAAACTTTTTTTTTTTTTCTCCCCCCTAGAGGATTTTCAATCAAAATGATTTCAAATTATGGGGTCAGAATGAATGTCATACTTCTATTTAAGTACTTGCCTACTTTGTGGGATGTTTTGTACAGATTCTTCACTAAATTATCTTAGCTACTGTTGCTAGGTAACATTGTTTGCTTCATAGCATCAGAGAAATAAGAGGGTCAAAGAGAGCAATTTCGTGTTATTATCATCTGAGTTATACTAATAAGGTTTTCATTGTACGTCTTAGAAATTTTTCCCCCTTTTTTTCCCTTAGGGAACATCATTGTCTATGGGAATACAATTGACATTTACACCACGGTAGAAACCCTCTTATCTCTTGGAATTGATGGTTCCCGCATCCATCTCGTACAGCCTCCACTCAGCTCAAATGTTACTTGCCTTAACAACAACGAAATCGAAAGTGCTGTTCAGGAAGCACTGTCAAAGGCTGGCGTGTCTGTTTATGATGACAGTATCCTGGCACAGTGGAACGAAGGCGACGACCCAGACCTTATCACATGTGCTGCTTTCACTACTAATACAAAACCATTTAAATTGCAGTGTTCAGTAAGTATATGCTTTCATTGTATTTCCTTCAGTCTGTTTTTTAAGACAAAGACCATCAAATTTAGATAGTCCCTCGTTGGTTTATCTATTTTTCTCATTGTCTCTGGAAGATTGAACATTCACTTGTTAGTCTAAAGGATTGGTTTTTTAAAGATCCAAATCAAACCGTTGTTAATGCCCTGACTGATTTGGATTAAAATGTATTTAAGTCACCTGACTCACGAATAGTTGTTCACTGCTGAGTGACAAATACTCTTAATTCATTTTCTAAATAATTCCAGAAATCCTTTTATTATTTAAATGCATACAGTAACTCCTGTCTATAGATGTGCATTTGATTAAGATTTGATTAAGTCATGGTAGAAGCCAATAATGTTAGGATAGGGAGGCCTACTATGCAACTTAATTAAAATATATTTTAAATACATTTTTCTGCCTCTACATTAGTGACTGCATTTTTGTTCATCTGTAGCATCGATAAGTAAATCATACGCACGCTCACAGGTATGGCCCCACTGTGAGATGTGGGACAGGTTTTAGCCTTTCCTAATGGCCAGAGTAGTTCTGGTTTTGTTTTCTGGGCTAATCCATGAGCGCTTCTAGTAGAGTCACTTCAACACGTGCATCTATAGGAAGCCATATGAGCCCCTCAACACACCCCGCATGCTTTGTGCAGCAAGTCTGTTGTAATTCTGGAAAGGAAGAGCCCTGTGCCTCCCCCGGAGAGCTCCCTAGGAGTCGGTGGTCCCTGCCGGCTCCCCTGCGCTGCAAAGCTCTAAGTCATTGGGTTTTCCCAACCCTTTTCTTCTTAACGTATGGATGGTTGAGCCCTTCCTGATGGAGGTGAAGACCTTGCATAGCACTTTTATCTGCTAGCAGCCTCCGGACTTTGGTCCCCGTATCAGTAGTGACGTTCATCCCACTCTCTCCTCATATACAGCTCTTCAGTTTTTAAAACTGAAATCCCTCTATTTTTATCCTTCTTCCGGAGATCTCAGGGTGTTCTTGCAACTTAATACCGTTCACCACCTCCCCGTCAGCCCCCGCTCTCTTCCCCACCACCTTGCCTGTGTGGCCTGTGCCATTCCTTCAAGACCCCCATTTCCTCGTGGCTTGTTTCTCTTGCCCTTTTGTGCCCCCTGCCCCGTGCCTGTCCTTCTCCAGCCACGGTTCTTTCCTCTCAAGGTCTCCCTTATGCAGCCTCTGAGATGAGAGATGTGCAATTACGTGTGATGTCAGGGGCTTTGTATTCTCCAAAACTGGTTCAGGTGTTTTGCGTGGCTCCTGTAGCTGCTTTTAGTTGCCGGGGAGGACGGGCTCGGAGGAGGACAGGGCTCTGGAGAGCAGCCTTCGCCAGGAAGGCAGCTGCGTTCGCAGGGGAGCAGGCTGTGCAGGAATCGGCACTGCAGCAGCTCTGGGCCTTTTGGGATTTGAGCCAATATCAACTGTTGATTGGCAGCTCTTGGGGGCTTAATTTGTTGAGTCCTGCAGGATAAAAACAACGGGAGAAAATCTCCTCTCTCCCTAAAGCGGCAGCCTCCCTCCCTCCCCTCCTGGGCTGACAGATGGCTCCCAGCCTGGAGGTTGCAGCCGTCCCCTCCCCTCCCCTCTGGTGACACCGTCCTGCCTGTCAGCTGGCAGCGCGTGGGGCTGTGGTCCCCTTGCCCTCACGGGCAGAGCTTCCCTGATTTTGGATCTACTGGATGGTTAGAATTCCCTTAACTGCATGTAGTTCATTGCTTGTTTTATATACAAACAAGCTCAGAGGCTCTGGCTCCTCTGCTGCTGCATCGCTGCTGTACCAGTGTTGCTAAAATTTCCAGCTCTCTTTCCTTCCCCCTCCTGTGCCTTTGCTTGCGGCTGGCTCATCCAGCCGCTTGTGAGCATCTGACACTTGCCCTTAGTCCACGGGAAAGCTCTTTGGTGCTATAATCGGGTAATACCTTTATGCAGGTCACAACCGTGTCCTCCCTGGGGCTGACACTGAGGGAAGGACTTATTACTGATGCTGGTTTGCCCTGATACGGTAACGGCTCGGGCTGTTCAAGATGAAGGCAGCAAGATAACACATGCTTGTCCGATAACTTTTCGCCCTTTCCTCAGCCTGTACAGTAATATTTCTTGATGGTTGGCAGCAACCTTCAACTTGTCATCTAATAATTTTAAAAGGTGAGGGCACCGATGAAGGGGAAGGCTTTTTATAAAGGCTCTGGAGCTTCACAAACTATGCTGTTGCAATGAGATGGTCAGTCTTCATCTGTACCCTTTGCAGACCACGATCTTGTTTAAAACGTCTCTCAACCTTGCCGTTTTTATTCCTTTTAACCCTCAATGTCCAGTGTGCACTCTTGTTTTACACTGTTTTTGGGACCTTTGTTCTGCCAGCTTTCAGTTTATCCTTTGTAAGAGGCAACTACGAAGAAGCTGCTCGTAGTTGTAGCTTCTCCCGCTTCTGCGGCGCTCTGACGGAGGTGAGGGCGTGGGGCAGGGACTGCTCTGTGCGTGTGCCCCTTGGTTCCAAGCTGGAGGACCCAGCCTCGCCTACCCGCTCCTCATTTCTCGTGTTTCGGAACCGAGGCACCTCCAGGTGACGCGGGTTTTACCTTCCCCAGTGCCTCTCTCAGCTTCATCTGAATAGGCGCTTCTGTCCTTCGCGAGCGCATTTTTGGTTGCAGATTTCAGCTGGGCTTTTGCCTCTTTAAAGTCACTTTTAGGCAATGTAAAAAACCAGATAAAACACATATCAAGGGAAATGTCAAATGTGCGTGGTTCTAAATTGATTCGAAAGCTGCTCTCCGCTAATCAATGCGCGGAGCCTGTGCGAAGCAGGCAGACAAAAGGCGAGGGCCGTGGCGGGACCCTGCAGTCCTCGCTCTCGCGCTGCGCTGGATTTCAAAGCGGCTCTTCAGGCATCCAGCACATTTTGCATGACGTGCTGCGTGCACATCTGTTCCACACCGATGCCTAACGTGTCAGACGAATCGGTGGCTGCTTCCAGCACCACCTGCTTTGTAGCGCTTGTCGCGGCGGTGCGACCTCAGCTCCTGTTTTGGGGAGATGAGGTCTGATCTGCTTCCTCATGTCCCAGGAGAGGGACTATGCAGGTGCCACAAGAAGACAAAAGAAGGGAATTATCACTAGCTTTTTTCTTTTGAGACTTAGAGGAGGAATTTGAGGATTTAGGGTGATTTTCTTTCAATGCCCTTGAAATCTTCCTGTGGGAAAGACGAGCTCATGGCTTGAGTAGAAGCTGGTCCCAAGATAAATCCCTACCTCGGGGCCAGTTCTGTAAGGAGTAAGACAGCACAGGCGGTGTTTTCAAAGAATGGAAGTCACATCTTTTTTCAGTCCTGCAACCCAAAACCTAGCGAACGGGTGTCTGCTGTGCTCATTGCCAGGTTCAGTGACTGACTGCCAAAAGTGCCAAGTGCTTTACGTACAGACACAGTAAGTAAGTGGGCTGCCCTGGGTGGTGCAGGTGGGTCTGACGTCCACCTAGACCCGTGCCTGTCTCCGAGAGCAGCCAGCCCCAGCCGCTGCAGGGGCACTAGTCCCAGGCACTAACGGAGGTACAGATGAGTCTGCCTCCTAAAGCAAGTATTACCTAGGTCTGGAATAGCTAGAGTTCTGTTTCAGTCCTGACAAAGTTTGGATATGCTTTCCAAAGTCTACAACGCTATCAAGTATAATAAATCTGAATGCTTTCCTTTTCATGTAAATATTCAGTCCTTTTATACCTCTCACAAATGTCTTGGCCTCCACAGCTTCCACTGGCTTTAACTCTGCCTCTGCTTTGAACGAGGATGACATTTCCTCTGAACGATTTGAATTTCCTATCTTTCCATTTCATTGAATATCTCTGTGCTGGTAACCATAGTAACATAGTTTGGTAAACAGTTAGGCACAATAGTTGGAAAAATATCTATAATACACAGTTATCCTGCTAAAATGCAAAGTAAATTGTACTTTTCTATTACATAGTTTTTCAGTTTGGCTTGAGCATTTGAAAGAAGAAAACCAACTTCCTAAAGGGTGCAAGTCTATTTCATATGCTCATACTAAGACAGAAAATATGCACATCCACTCAGGCTGTTTGACATATTTGAGTTTTTAAAATAGAAGTCATCTAATAACCAAAAGTAGATGAGTCTAGTTTAGAAATTCTCCCCTCTGCTGTCTTTGTTTTAATTTTAGTAGCTGTAAATACTGGATCAGAAGGATTTATCTGTGTATGTAAAATTATACTTTATTTCACATTTTTGTTTTCTAAAATAAATAACATTCAGAATGAAGCATAGGTTTTGATTTATGAAATTAGCCAGTAACTAATGTATAATAACCTACACTTATTTACATCTCTCTTTTAGGCATTTTTTAGCTTTGCCTACAGGACAGTGGATTATGAAACCTTTAAGGCAATTAATGATGCTTGCCTTGTTTTTGATGGAAGACTTGTGATAGATACCGAATTCCGTACTAATGATGTCAGTATCAGGGCTGCAGGTCCTTTAACAAAGTACTCCAGGAGATATTACGTAGGTGAATGGACACACAGCAACTTCAATTCAAAAGAGATTGGCTTTGAGCTTGCTGCATCTCTGCTGCATCTCTTTGATCCAACCCCTAAGCCCTTCTCTAAGCCACCAGAAGACACAGACAGACTCATCCCCATGTACAAAGGATGTAAAATTAAAGGTATGTCAAAATGGATTTCTGTGATACGTTCATACCCTCTTCGCTATTTTTGCTGTTCTATAAGGGCAGGCCCATCTCACCTCAGACGCCGTCCAATGGCAGTAAAGTCCTCAAAGCTCCGTACGTAGTCAGTGGAGAGAGGCGAGTTGCAATAAAAGCTTATGCTGTAGATTTTTGCTAATGATGGACCAAGTTGTGCTTTCATTTATATTGCAGTAAATGTGGAGTGTTTCCAGTGAAACCCAGTGTCTTTATTCCAAGTTCAAGATCAGTAAAACTGTAATTGGAACTTCTCAATGTGTGGCTACTGCACCAGTATGTGTAACAGCACAAAAAAAAAGTTATAACATGAAGTCCACCAAAACAAGTTCTGTGTTTTCTTTCTACAGCCACTTAGTAAACAAACAAACAAAAAGATTATGGGAGAAGGAGGACAATCAAATACTTTATTTTTCTTCTTTCTTTATGATTTAATAAATCTCATATTTTCATTCATGGCAGAAGGTGTTCTTCCTGGAGGTTATAATTACTTGCATATTTCCAAACCAGAAATCCCCATCCGCTTGGACTTAGAACTTGCACTGTGTGATCACGTAAGTTACATTATTTAACTTTTCTTTGGTTTGTCCTCCATATGGAAAGATGTTCTTATTTAGCATAGCACAGATACATGCGTAAGTACCATGCATCTTAAAAAACATCTTGAGTAAGCATGGGTTTAAGTATGTATTTAGAGACCTTCCGGAGCTGGAACTTAGCAGTAAACTGTGGGCATGGAACAAACCACATAAAAACAAATCTCTGTGATTATTTGAAAATATTTAATTTATTTTAATGTAAATTCACTGTCATATTGTAAATGTGGACTACATACAGATAAGATTATCTGATTAACTTCTTTACTGCAGTTCTTAATTCCTTTGCCATGAAATCAACCGAAACCAAACGGGTTTTTGGTCCTTGAAGGCCGGAAATACTTGTCAAGCCCTAATGCCCTGAACTCTTCATTACTATTTGTAGCACTTTGGGTTCAAATAGCTCCCTAATGGGGCACTATAGCTCAACTCCTTGACCCTTTTTTTCCAGAGCTGGTGGCTCAGCACTGTGCCTGGTTCCCGAGCCATTTGTCTTGGCACAGGTTGGGAGGTTATCGTGTTGGCTTTTCCTCGCACTCTCTTTTTCAGAATGGCTTTCTCTTTGCTTGATTCTGTAGAGAGAGACAAGTCATTTTCTCAGTCATATGGAATATGTTGCTTTTCAAGTTCCTAGCACGTATTTAATACACAGCACATCAAGGCAGTGGTGGCATTTGCTGTCAGATTTGCATAAGCACAAATGCAGTCAGCTAAGCCTGGGTGCGTTGTATAGATGAGGTACCGCTGGTGAACAGGTATGGATTAGGTAACTAACCGAACCTCTTAGATGTTCGTTTCCATACTTTCTGATACTTGGCTTTCTCAAAACATGCATGATTTCTATAAAGATGTAGGATAGCATTAGCTGGATTTCACTAAAATATGCTTTCAGCCTTAGTGCTTAACCTCGTTCCTCCCTGGAATAAGGTGCTATAAATGCATACAGATGATAAAACTTGGCAGTCTATCAGCGAAATTCAGCTGATTTCTAGACTAGTAGGAAAAGAATATGTTCTGGAAGCGATGCTCCGTGCTTTGCTGCTAGAAAATAGCTAGTGCTGCAACCCTGAAAGTCATCTTTGAACAGGAAAGGAGGAAACACTTCACACAGTTGGGCTACATAGGAGATTGTCCCATGATACAAACGTGGAGACGCTTCTATTACTGGAGAACCTGACCTGTGAAACAAGAAAAGGACTAGATTCATGTGTTTTTAAAGCCAGAGAGGACCATCCACCTAGGCAAGCTCCTGTTTCGTACAGATTATACCTTTTTCCTTAGGGATTTCTGCATCAAGCCCATTCTTGTAGTTGATGTGAAGAGTGGCTTTTAAAAGACTCCTTCAGTGCTGATTTTAAAACTCAGACAGCAATGGTCTATAGAAAGAAATTATTTTTTTTTAAAAAAGGAACCCATGCCTTGTGGGGAGGAATCAAAGCATGGCTCAGCTTGTTTTGCAGCTTTGCAGATGCAGGATGAGCTGTCCAAAGCAGCATGTACTGGGAAGCAGAAAGGACTATCAGAGAGAGAAAAATTGGTTTTGTCACTCCAAATTGCTAGAACATGATTAGAATTCTTTTGCTGCAGCTTTGATTACCTGCTGTCTGAAAAGGGAACATCTTTAAAGCCACTCCAGAAACTTCATGTAAATCCTAAAAGAATTTCCTAAGAAAGCAGTAAGAGAAGCTAGTGAAATGTATTAGCTGAGAGATGTGGAAGTAACAAAGGTTACTGTAGCCTAGCAACAGGTTTTAGAAATATATGAAAGTGGAACATGAATACAGCTTTAAAAAATAGCTTCAAGCCATTTGATCATCCCAGTGCAACGTGAGGTTTGAAACAAATTTTTACATTTTTGTCTTTTATTAACTGATTGATTTAACTAGCTGAAACGAAATGCTACAGTTTGAGCACCAGCATCCAACATGGTTATTCTTTTATTGATAGTATAGTTGGTGTTAGCAACACTTGGCAGCCCCTGTTCAAATTAGCAAGAGGGAGTCACTGAGAGCAATTCTAAATCATATATATATATGTGTTTGTGTGTATATATACACACACATATGCATATGCATATATATATGTAAGGTAAGTATACACATATATATTTTTTAATGCAATAATAATTCATCATTTAAAAGTCTAGAACATAGCCTGAAGGAAACGTCTGAAGAGATAAAGCCCAGCCTCCTGCAGTTGCAGGCAACCGTCTAGTGCATAGTGCCGTTTGTAAAATTTAGAAGTTTGTTTTAGAACTGAACAGGGTCCTTCTTGGTATTTCTTTCCTTGGAAGGCTGTTCCAACACATCCCACCTCTGACTCCTGGAAAACTTCTACACAAAGCCAAAAATGCTTAATTGGTACGTGATAAATCTTTGAGTTGTAACATTGAAGTTTGCTTGTAACTGATTAATGTGGTAGTATCAACCCTCTGCCTACAGTTGTATAGCTTCTACAATGTGCTGTAAATTTGGTCTCTGCACATATGCTGTATATGTGTGCGTATATATATGCTGTACACATAAAAAATATATATGTGTAGTTATACATCTGGAGAGAGAGTAAAACATGCACCAGTGTGTTCTTCATTCATCAGGGTGGTATCCTATAGTAAATTATGATATGCATGTGTATGCAGTAATATGGACTGTATATATTATGTATTATATATTAT